AATCACATTTTTGATGTCCAGATGCGGCATGTAAAACATGTGAGTAAAATGGCAACAGATCTTATCTAACACGAAGCAATAAAAAAGCTATGACAGAATATGAAATATAATATAACGTGACAGCCTTTACACAAGATTTGAACAGAAGTAGACCACAAGGTAGACGGTGAAGAGATAATATGCAGGCAGACCTAAAAACACTTGGAGTCGCCAAGTAGAAAGATAAGGCCAGTCACAGAGATAAATGGGGGTGGGTGATGTCTGCAGCAATAATGAACCTCAAAGTTTTGGAATGCTGAAGGAAAAGAACATAGTATTTACAATTTTCTTTTTTTCATTGTCCCTGCCAGCTGTTTTCTATGAAGTCTGTTGTGTGACACATGTCTTCCTCTGTTCTATACGGCTTGGTTTCCATTTAAATGCCAATCAGCTTAATCTGGGATCTCTCTATTGCCTATGGACAGCATGTCAGTAGCACAATACTGACATTGCATTTAAAAAAATTTTTACAAGGTATGCGAAACGGTCCTTACTGTTGTAAACAGTATTTGAGACAGAAAGAAATAAGTAGCTTGAAACGGCCATATTCTTTAACTCGTCTGGTACCAAACAGGCATTAATTTAGCGTACATTTCTGTGAGAAATTATTACAATAGTGTCCCAGATCACTTCAGATACTCCCAAAGACAGATCACACAATATGATTATTGTAATTATTTTAAAAAATACATTAAAAAATGTGTAAACTTAATATTTACTCCTACAATGTGTTACAGTTGAAACATAATCTAAGCAATATTCACTAACCAAAAGTTGGTTAATGGGGCCCTGTAACCCACACAGAAAGCTAGGCTGATATATGTCTCTTTCGGCCAACGCATCTGATTTTAGCAGCTTTCTAAATAGTTGCTATTTACAACATTCTTAAAGCCTATGCTCCAGTGGGGGCTAGAAAGGCAGAAGAAAAACCGGGTCTTTTCTTTCATTCCACCAAAATATGGCTCCAAAACTCACATGGGTAAACCAAAAGTAATTGCTAAGCATAACTACATTATATTATTTAAAATTTTAATTTATAACCTAGATGGGCTAAGCAGAATATTCTTCTTTTAATTACTACTAGTAATTACTTTTAATAAAATACATTTTTTTTCTAAAAATTAATTTAACACTATAGGACAGAAGAAATAAAAGTAATAATAGGTACAGGGTGGATTAAAGTCACAACTGGAAGGGTCACACAGAGTTTAAAAGAAAAAGAAATTTATATCATGTCAGTTGAAAAACTCGTGGTGAGCTGGTTGGTACTGAACTGGCTAATACTACAATTAAATTACCATTCCTTAACACATTTATCTTCCAGAAAACAGTCATAGAGCTGGTTATTTCCCACGCTTACCTTCAACAGAACAGTCACATAGCAGATTCTTTAACACCGTCTCGTTCAATAGAGGTCGCAGGTGGTGAGAGGCTCATGGATATTTTGCCCAGGCTATCTTGGATATTTAAGTGGGCTGCGTGGTCTCGAAGCATGGTGTCTGCCTCAAGTGCTAAATGTTTCAGGTTCAATCCCCAGTAAGAGCTGAGATTTTTTCACGTGGACTTGGACTTCTAGAAATTCCCCTTGGTCTCTGGGTGGTGAGATCAGCCGACCGTGTGCATTGTTGCGCACGTAAAAAAAAAAATCCCTTGGTAGTTGGAAATCGGAAAGAGTAGCCTGACGGCGCTGCCCGGGCAAAATTTTTAGTTATAAATCTACCCAAAGTATTTCAGGATCCTCGCCGGTGCTACAGAACCTGTGCACTGGGCTGAGCTTCTTCGGACTCAGGCTTGAGTTAGAAGAAGAACGAAGAACTTATGGGTTACTGCCCATGTGCCATCTCAAATCTCAAATGTAGGATATTTACGAATGAGCAAGCAAGCAGGTCAGTTGGCTTGACTCCCCCCCCCCCCCCACCTCCTTGGGGGTGTATTGTAACCGCACAAGGCAGAAGTGACGTCTCGCTTGTGGGACAAGGTAGCACGTAAAATGGATGATAGTGAAAATGTGTATTTGGAGAGACTGATGCAGTAGTAGGGAATGTCTGCAGTCTCTGGGTGCCACTAAGGACTTGGGGCACGATAAGCCAAGTAGTTAATGACAATGGATACCTTCAGTATGGAAACTCTTTGCTGCTGAGAAGGGGGACTGAGCTATTATGGGCTTGCCCTGAACACTATATTGTCAAACCTTTATCCAAATGAACCCTTAAATAGAACCGTCATCCCAAACTTTTCTTAATAAATTAAAATTTTTCCACGGCGCCCTAACCTAAGTAAAAGTATGACGATTCGTATGTAAGAGATAGAAAAAAATTTTAACTTGTGTATCTTCGAATATTTTGCGGTGCCCCTGTGAAGAGGTCGCGGCTCCCGGGGGCACCACGGCGCACAGTTAGGGAATCACTGATGTAACGGGTTCTTCAACATATTTACCGTTCAACAAAACACGTAGCATGCTCTTTATTGCATTTACCTTTCAACAGAACAGTCATGGAGCAGACTGACTTAAGGCCAGAAGTGTCTGTGCCGGTAAATATCACCTTGTGAGTTCCTAATGTAAAGTTGAAGCCAGATCTTGGAGTACTGGTTACTATCACAACCTGGCCAGAGTTATCTGTGGCATTCGGCAATTTCCAATCGACTGTGTTGTATGTCTGATGGGGTTTTGCATATGCAGTGAGCATCTCATTACAGTACAGGGTCGGGGGTTTTATATCTTATAGAAAAGAAATATTTGTTTTATTTTGTATATGTGACAGAGTTAAATATGAAAATGCATTTCAATCTTTTATCTTGTTTTCTTGAGTGAGTACCAGGTACAGTCCTGGGAAGTAAAGGCGGCCGGCGTGATGCTATCTACATCACCCACCAAGTGCCTTTTGGTCTATAAAATATAGGTCTAGCCCTATATACCCAATACACCTAAAGATGTGGAAAAGGGTCTTTTTTTAACAAACAGGAACTCTCAGAAATATGGGTATATTGGTTTCTTTTACTATTAGTCTTGTTGAAAGTTACTTGGTCTTCATCAGCATTTCAAGTTGGTTTAGCTCACTGTAGTTAGTACGTTTTATTTGCTCGCTTTCTCGTTTCCATTTTCTTTCCCTCACTGTCACCAGAAGGGGAACACTGCAACTTATCAATAGTCACTTATTTTCAAACATTTGAAGACTGTGACTAAAGACAAACGGCAAATGATGAACACACATTTTTTTCTTATCCGACTTAACTCCCGCCAATTCATCGACACACACAAAACTGCATATGCAATTAATCGCAGCTGCTAGAGCTTTCAGAATGAGAAATAAAAAATGGTTAGTTGCGTATCTTTTACAGGACGTTGCAGAACCAACCCCAACAGCCCCTGGCTGTTGTGTGGTTTTTCTAAGCAAATTTACGTCCAGTATTTTGCCATTGCTTCTGGACGGTCGGCTTTCTTGATACCACTGTCGAAACCAACGCAAGGCGCATGATCCTCAGCTGGAATCGAACCCGCCAACCTGGCATTACGAAGCGTTCGCATCGACTTAGCCACGAAATCAAAAATTCAATAAGAATAATCCACATCCATAAAAGACAACAAATAAAATTATTTGGACAGCGTAGGAGAATGAAATCCAATCAACCATTGATTAAAACATTAAACAACAACAAAAACGAAAAGAGAAAAGATAAACAGACTATAGAACCGGAGGATGGCTATGAAAATTAAAAGCAAACCACAATTGTGCACTAAATAAAATCAAAGTGACACAACCGAAGCAACACATCTAGCCCTGCAGTGCAAGCTTATGCTTCACCTTCATCAAGTCTTTTAACAGCAATGTGCATTAGAAGATGAACACCAGCCAGATATAATAGCCCCAGGGCTGTTTCTTTTTCTGGTGGCAATCCTGAATAGACCAGTGGTACCAGTTAAAACCTGTGGACAATTTTTTTTTCCAAGGTCTGCAATGGACCCCTTTTCCACACCTCCAGGCATAATGGGTACATATGGCTATGCCTATTTTGTATAGACCAATCAGCATGTGGTGGGTGATGTTGTCAATATCACGCCGGCCACATTTACTTCCCATGAATTCACCTGGTACCCATTTGAGGCTGGATCAACCTGGAAGCCAAGGTAATTTTTGTAGGAAAAAAATCTAACTCCTATGTGACCTGAACCCATGACCTTCTGACCAGCAAGCGAGCATCTTGCTACTACATCATGTAACCTCCATTAGTCATACTTAGAAATTAAAACTTATGACTGGAGTCATAGAAATAAAACAAAAAGGATTGCATTCTAAAGTTAGGTTCTCTAAATGTGTAAATGATGTGGATCCTTTAAATTACTTCCGCATTTGCCCTGGACCACCAACTGGCAACTGAAAAACACTGAAAAAGACTACAGTCCGATTGTGTCCCTTCAGTTCTCATTTAGTTCTATGTATATATGTAAGTTGTACACCACCAGGACATCACACAAGCGATAAATACTCGGTGACACAAAGTGCCACCATGCAGATAAGGATCACCAGTGAAGAGGTCCTAGAAACCCCGTTCAGCCGTTTGGCAATATTTCAGGCCCGGCTATATTTAGGGCCCAAGGCAAAAGCCCGGGAGGGGCTTCAAAATAGCTAAAAATTTCATCCCACAAGGGAAGGACGAGAGTCGTTATTTAGTACTTTCAGATCAAACACCACATCGATCTTTATAGCGTGTATATATGGTATATATACGTCTGGATCCTTACTCGGTGTAGAGTTTCTGGACTGTGCTGAAAACCTGCTTGTGTGCTCTATAGGAGGAGACTGATGAACTTGTGCGCATTTGAAAAATTATGCTTCCACTTTGTGTATGTGTAGTGCAGACCTACACACATTTGGAGACACCAGCTGGAAAGAAAAGGCCCGATCTTAGAGGTGAATGGAACCAGATTATTTCTGCAGCAATGGACCTTAAGAGCTTTAGAGAAAATGTCACTCGTGTTGCCAGAAAAATGCCAGCATATTCTTCGTGTTATGAACACGAACATCGATGACAGGATAAAAGTATCCTTTGCCACTATCTCCTTTCGGGGTGTGGGTCATGGGTTTGCTACAGTCGTGTTCAAGAAGGCCAATGTTGATATTCGCAAGAGGGCAGGTGAACTGAGTGAGGAAGCTGTTAAACTCTTTGTGACAGCGATGGCCAACCATCGCCAGCACAAGATCACAGACTGGTTTCTCAAAAGACCGAAGGATATCAAGGGTGGCCGCTTCACCCAGGTGCTCAGTAACGGTCTGGACAACAAGCTGCGCGAGGATCTGGAGTGTCTGAAGAAGATTTGTGCTCACAGGGTCTAAGACACTACCGGGGCTGCCGTGTCAGAGGTCAGCATACAAAGACCACCGACAGGAGAGGAAGAACTGTGAGTGTGGCCAAGAAGAAGTAGCTGATGGCAGTAAAAAAAAATGTTAACGCAAAAAAAAAAATCAGGAGCTTCAAATAATGATAACGAAGAACACATATTTTAGTTCTTACTGCAAGACCCTAGTTAAAAGTTGAAGTTAAAAGTTGATAGGATCGACTTTATTGTCCTGGGTTATTCCCAAGTGGCTTGGTCTCTCTCTCTGCAGAAAGATTAGTCACCTCCGAGGGTACCGCATATAGCATGAACTCCGTACATTCAGCAACAACTCTCGGGGATCTCCATTAAATTAGCACTCGTGAACTGAACAATGCATCTGCAAAATGAACCCACGATCTTTAAAGTGCCAGGCAAACGCTTGACAACTTCCTCGCGGAGACGCCTAAAGACTCTAGTAACTGCATGTATCTGCATAATAATGATAATAACAACATGCTCATTAAATTACTGACCAACACAACGACCAGGTTGAGTCCATGTTTTGTTTCTCTGACATGTTATAATGGAAGCACCCTGTAGACTGTAGCCAACATCTGTACAAGTCACCCCACAGGTAGCCGTGTATGTATGGTCAGTGCACAGCAAGTTTCCATGGGGAACAGCAGGCGGAGAGCCACATGAAACTTCTGCAAAGGTATTGGAAAACAATCGTTAATCTGAGTTATGAGTTGGGTTATCGTCACAGCACTCCTGACACATCCATAGGAGCTCATATTCTCACATTAACATATATACCAGCAGCCCGCTGTCAATAATATCAGTCTCATGCTGGTTGACAAGACTTCTTATACGTTAGTGTGTCTCTCATACAAAGCAGTGTCGATCTTTACTCTCAGTTCTTCCATTCTTAGCAGTGATGTGGACACTCTGCTCTCAAATTCCACCGATCATCCTATCTCTCTATGGGTGTCAACACAGCTGGCACAATCCATAGGCCGGCCGTCAGTTTTTTTTAGACTACGTGGAGTATAGTTTCTTAATTTCCTCAACTTTCGCTTTAACAATGTTATTTTATTTCTTTTTGTATAAACAGTTACGTTAAAACTATCGGACTGCATTTATCATGGATAAATAAATGACTAAATTGCTCAATAAAATATTAAAACTAATATCAAAAGCACGGTTGCCAGACATTTAATCTGCACTGAGATTAATTTTTATAAAACACCCTCTCTACCCGCTCCTTGAGCCATCAATACAAGACTTATATGGTCGCCAGGAAATGTCTTGGGAAGCAAAGTAAAAAAAAAAAAACATTATGATAACAAAATCACCCATCGAGTGCAGATTGGTCTATAAAAACAGGTATAGCACCACATACCCGATGAGGCAATGGCATGAAGTTAGTTGAGTATCCTTTACACTACGTCGCAGAACCAACCCCATAATTTTTTAAGGGGGAGAGGGGGGGGGGGGGTGCTGTTTTAGTTTCTCTAGTCAAATTTTACGTTCAGTAGTTTGCTATTGCTACTAAACGGCCAGCTCTCGGTATCAGTTCGAAACCAGTCAGTCAGTCAGTAGCATGTCCTTTGCAGAATGTTGCTCCTATAACAAACCTCCGGAAAACTTCTTGATCACAAGCAAGATGTCCCACGTCTGATACACCTATCTGGAGATCATCTGCCACATCCTGCACCCAACTTCTCTTTAGCCCTCCTCTTCCTCTCTTCCCAAGCATATTGCTCTCCATTACTGTTCTCTCCAAACTTTCGTGACGTTTCAAGTAACCACAATATTTCAATTTCCTGTGTTTTATCGTCTTTAATAGCCAACCTTTTTCTATATTCAATTCTTAAAGTATGGATGCATTTGTTCTTTTCTTTACCCGTGATATTCTTAGAACCCGTCTATATCATTTGTATTTAAAGACATTTATGCGCTGTTCAGCTTCTTTAGAAAGTGTCCAGGTCTCACAGGCGTATGTTGTAATGAGAAAGATGCATGCTCTTAGAAATCTAATTTTTGTAGTTCTGTCTGTCCCACTCTATAATTTATTCAGTTGTTTTAGTCTTTGAGGAGCAGTTGATAGTCGTTGTTTAATTTCTTTCATTGTGTCACCATTTTTGATAATCAATGACCCAAAATATTCAAAATTTTCCACAACCTCCAATCTTTCCTCATTACCATATATATTTCGGCTCTCCTTTAAACTACGGCCGGTAGACAACAGTAGACGGCCGGTTAGTCGGAGGTCTGTCTCCTTGCTGCAGTGCAATTACGGAGTGGAAAAGAGGGAACAAAACAAATGAAATAATTACTGTGTGTTGGCGATAGACAGCGGGCACTGCCCTGCTATAATCATACGGTTACGGTTTGGGTTAGGGTTAGGGTTAGTGGTAGGGGTAGGGTGTGGGTTAGGGTTAGGGTGTGGGTTAGGGTTACGGTTAATGTCGCCGCATCTCGTCTTCGCACAAACTCATAGTAGCAACCCAAACCCTAATCCTAACCCTATCCCTAAACCTAACCCAAACCCTACCCCTACCCCTAACCCTAACCCAAACCCTAACCCAAACCCTAACCCAAACCCTAACCCAAACCCTAACCCAAACCCTAACCCAAACCTTAACTGTATGATGACAGTAGGGCACTGCACTCTGTCTATCGCCAACAGACAGTAATTATGTCACTTGTGTCGTTCCCTCTAGTCCACTCCGTAATGCGTCGCAAGAAGCGGTAATTGAACTCGGTCGCTAATTTAAGTCGCAGCGCGGGGTCTGCCAGGCATGTCGACCTCACTGTGTTTTTTTATTCGTGCTTTCTCCAGTCCGTAATTGCACTGTAACCGACTAACCAGCCGTCTACTGTTGTCTACCGGCCGTAGTTTAAAGGAGAGCCTATATTTCTCTCCATGGTAGTTTTATCAGTCTGCATTATCTTTGTTTTTGTTTTGTTAAGATATAAGTTGTAATTTTCACTATTTCTTTGGATTAGGTTATTAAGTTTTCTATACTAATCTGGCGAAACCAACGCAAGACAAATCGTCCGCAGCTGGGATCAAACCCGGCACCTCGGCATTACGAAGCGCGTTCGCAAAGCCTAGGCTACAGACACCGACAATAGTAGCTATTAATGATAGTAAAATCCAAGTAGAAATAGTATCATGATTGTGTTAAAAATGCAAAGCTAGCGATAGGAATTTATTATTATATTAAGTACATTAAAAAAAAAAGTATACAGTAGTATTTTAAAAATACAAACTTTTGCAAGTTGGCTTGCTGTTTTTCCACACAGAATTTCTCAGGCAATATGAAAATGTTGAACCAATGAGTTCATAGCCAGGATTACATGTGTAAGAACAGCGACTGCCGTAGACAATGCCAGCACTGCAGATAGCCTGTCCATTCTCGAGGAAAGTTCGACCACTCGGACATCTCCTGGCTGAAGAGATTTTGCGAACATTAAATTTTTAATGTGTCTATACATTTTTTGTAAACGTAATTAACTTATTGCTTCCTTGTGTTCGACTGCATATATTTAGTGTACGACGCTGGCGTATAATTTATATTTATGTGAGCATATCGCAAAGGGTACTTCTCATATGAACCAAAAGTAGAAGTACAGCCCAAGATATGCCGTCATGTTGGATCAGGTCTGTGCAGAATCGTTCTTAACACAGCAAGCCAGAATGCCAAACGGTTTCTATGTAAATTCCCCGTCATGTGAACTGTTCCACCCGTGTCTTTGATATCCTGTCTGCAGCCATAATGGTAGATCCCTGCCTCTTCTTCTGTGAACTACACCGTTCTTAGCTGTTTATTACAAACCATTAAGGCATTTAATGTGATCCAAGTTTTTAAGTTTTCCAGAGACAATAGGAATAAACTCACAGGGAGCAAGTACAGCAGGGATCTACCAGTCATCAGTAGAAGATATCCTCGTCGACAAGTGTTTCGGCCCACGATTCTCCTAGACACTTATGGAGGTGGGCCCACCTGAGTTCATGAAGCTCAGGGCTGGTACCCTGCTGCACGAAATTACCGGATGGTGTTTTTCTTTCGGATAGGGACAAGACGACTTGGTGATTTGCAGAAGGTACTGTGAGATAAGAAGTCGTCGCGGCAGCCTAATTAAAACAGTCAGCGTACCTGGACGACCGAGCGACAAGCTTACGATTGGTATACCGGACACGATGGACTTTCAAGGGGTGAGAAACCCTTTTCCGCTAGACACCCGGACCAGTATACAATACTGTATTTGTCCGCAGAATAAATAGCATCACGCAAATATTTATATCCATATTTTATTCCAGCAGGGCGCACAAAGAAAACATAGGGCGGGAGGCCGGAGCGCTCACAGGAGGAAAGTTAGGCTCACTCTCCTTACAAATTTTTCGAGGAGAAGGGCCTCGGGAGCTAAGTTGTTTCGTGCTTATATTTGAAAAAATTAGACATGTATAAACAAATACATTTAAAGAGAATTTCTTTACATCAGTAAAGGGTTGCAAAATGAGGAGAGGAAATGGAGGGTGAATGGGGGGGGGGGGGGGGTTCCTAGGGCCTGAGCCTTCAGGCCCCGGTATTTATGGCACGTAGGTAGACAAGCATCAAGATACAAAATAAGCAGGTGTGTGTGGATATGTGTGTGTGTGTGTGTGTGTGTGTGTGTGTGTATGCTGACTAATTAATAACAGCACAAACAGTTTTACCTTTAACGGAAAAGTATTTGGTACAAGTGTCTATCTTCCCGCCGCGATCTTTGGTGATGTAAGTCACGTAGTATGAGCCGTCGGTTAGAATCGACCCTGGACCCCAGCCGCTGGTCACGTGTGTGCTACGTGGTGTTCACAAAATATTGTCCTTTAAATCATTTTTTAAACAAAACAGGGACCAGGTAGTAGTAGGTCTTCCACCTCCCCCCCCCCCTCCCCTTTCCATTATTTCTATATCCAGTCAATACAATGACAACTTGATGTTTTGCCTTACTTTATAAATAAAGCTAAGAATACTAAAACTTTAACCCCCCTTACTACTACTACTACTACTACTACTACTACTACTACTACTACTACTACTACTACTACTACT